AGGACATCCTGTATGTAGAGGATATTAAGGTATAGCCCACCACGTGACCTCATTGGCGGAAATATTTTCTTTTGTATTTCTATATATTATAAATTATTTGTTATTAAGCTAATAATAAGCTAATAAATAAGCAAGAAATTGTTGAGTTTTTGGCTCGCTTACTTATGTTGTCGAAAATAACAGACATTGGCAAGGTGTTTTAAGTTCAAGTCTGGCTTCTCTACGACTAGGTTGTATGCTCCTTTCATGTGATTAAAAGTAAAACAATGATTAAATAATGAATTGTGACATGTACTGACAATCTTGATGTTGCCGATAACGCAATACTTAAAGTCATTACACAGATACCTTAAGTGCATTTATGAGTAATGAGAAACTCGAAATCTCGAGCGTTCCGTGATTACTATATCGCTTGACTGATGTCATTTTAATAGAATACTTATCTCTGCCAGAAATTAAGTAACTTCCGGCTCTTTTCTATATGGTTGTGTATTAAGAGTGAATTAAGAAAAGTTTGTACTATGGATACTTATTAACTGATAAACATTCATAAACATATTTTTTTAAATAAATACGTATTATAGATATATAAACACCCAGACACACGTAAAATATGATGTTTATCAGACATTTTTAGAGGAGTGGGTCCAAACCATACACTCCGGTGCAAAAGACTCTCGACTTCACTATCTACTGCCCTAATCGAGTTATCAATGTTGAATAGTTTTATCTAGAGTTATACAGTAAGTCCCTTATATACACAATCATATATCATACAGTCGATCACACGGTCGTGTATTCTGTAAAGTGTTCCAAACATCCGGAATTAAAGCCATTATTAAAATTAAAATATGTAGAAAAAGTACGAAAAGATTGTCGCCGCTGTGGGAATCGAACCCACTTCTTCGGCATTCGCGGCCTGACGCTGTAACCACTAAGCTAAACGGCTGATTGCCACACCGACGAAAATCTTAACGTCTTCTATCTGTATTGTTTTTTAGCATTTGAAGCAATGCTTGGCGCATCCATTGGCGCATCTTTTCGTACTTTTTCTAAATATTTTAATGTTCAATCTTGTGTGCAAAGATTAGCGCTATAAACAATTTAAATTGCCATAATTAAAGTTAAAAAGTTAAATCTCCTGGCCCTTCAATATACATGATGTTGCTGGATTTAAAATGTAGGAAAGAAGTTTTAGGATCCATCAAAACGGTATTCATCGAAAATAAACATTTTCTGAATTATTTAACCTATCGTTCAAGTGCCATCTAAAAAGAAAAATGTAGCGATAACAGTTTATATTGCACGTCCGCGTTAAGAATTTTCAACAAAGCAGAATAATCATGGCTATAGTCAAAATAACATGTGACGAACGTGAGGAATTTGAAATTCTGTGACAAAATGAAAATGTGCCGATTTCTGCATTTCATACGCTATTATAGTTAGTCAGCGATTTGTTTTGTCTAATCGCAAAAATGCGAGCGGATTTATTCTATCACGTATACATGTTTCTACCGTACATGTTTTATAAATTTCGACTGTTAATTATGCTGGACTAAATATATGACATTGATTTTTAGTCTTTTCCAATATATAAAATTCTCGTGTCACGGTGTTTGTAATTGAACTCCTCCGAAACGGCTGGATCGATTTTCGTGAAATTTTGTGTGCGTATTGGCCAGGGTGGAGAATCCGACAACATCTATTTTTCATCCCCCTAAATGGTAAGGGTGGTCTACCCCAAATATTTTTTTCTACCCTACAAATAATTTATATGGCAAAACAATGTTTGCCGGGTCAGCTAGTATAAATATAAATATTATATGACACATTTTTACACAACGTTATCGAGTCCCGAACTAAGCAACGGCTGGACTATGGGTACTAGATAACTGATAAACAGTGGTCGGATCGAACCCACATTCTCTGGCGCAAGAGGCAGTTTCACTACAAACTATGCCAATACGTCTACGTCATAATAGTATCGGAATATAGGGCAAATTTGGCCCAAAATTTTTGAAGTAAAACTTCTTTAGGCGCGACTAGGGAGTAACTCAGATTTTGTCTGACGGAAGTAACGCTTTTTCTGACGGAACGTCATAAGTATATTTTTAAAATATGACATATACTTATGACGTTACTAAATATTTAATCCTTTCAGTGATATATGCCGTCTACGCCAAAGAAGTTTTACTTCAATCGCGCGTAAAGGTTACACGCACACACTTTTTTTTTAAAGGGAAAACTTCTAACCTTGACAACTTTTTGAGTAAACAAGCAATTTAAAAAAAGGAATACACAAAAAAATATTATATAATGGAAAATACTATTAGTAGACTAAGAATTAATAGACTAAGCGTATCCATACGTTCCCATCGTCCAAAATGAGCACAAACCGAAGCGAACTTTCCGCCGCGCACCGTGTGAATACCCGGTTCCGATACTGGAGCCACCTTCTGCAAGCATCAAGTTAACCGGCCGTTAATTTTAATTGAACATCTGAGAGCATCGCTCATTTTCGACCGACTTCAAAAAAGGAGGAGTTTTAATGTTTGTTACCTCAGAACTTTCAACTGATCGAACCGACTTTGATGATTCTATTTTTATTTGAAAGCTGAATTTTTGAAAATTTCGCTGTTATTAGATCTTGGGCTCCGGATATACGTAGGGAGCTCCTGAAAATCAATTATAAAATGAATACAGAGCGAGATATTTCAAGTCGGTTTTGTTTTTCGTTAGTAAAAATATGGTTTGTTCTATATAACAAACGGAGTCAACTGTAAAATCTTAATCGGCGGCAAGCCTGTCACCCGTAAGAAGTAAGCAACGCGATTCTTACGAGCCCCGTATACAGATTTACAGCTCGGCACATCAAAAAGTCGGTGAATCTTCACGTATCGGCGCTCTTCACAGTCCAAAGGAGTATTCCCCCCTTGTGTGCAGAACGCGGCTAATCGTTTGAAAGCTTCCGTCGGTGTACGCTTATCCCGATCCCTTTCTTTAAGCATTCAATTAAAATCGATCGTAACAACGTCCTCAGCCATACCGAAAGGAGGACTCACCGTCAAAAGACGTCAAACGTAATCAATTTCACAAATAACCACCCCCAATGCCCCCCTTTTTACGTGTACTCGACTTTTTCTTAGGCGGACCTATCTACCGATATATCGATGTTTGGATGCGAGCGAAATATGACCCTACGTGTGGTCATCAGAGTACAATTTCGCTTCGAGCCGGCTTTCGTACGGAATGCGATAAAGTATCGAACGTTACTTTATTAGCGACGTACGGGGGCAATTTGGCTTTATTCTCCATCAACAAAGGCCAATTTTGCTCGGCTAGCGAATGACTTAAGCCATTTTGGAGCGGAGATCGTCATCAATACGGTATCGCAGCATTATCGTTATAACGCGGCATTAAGACAGAACCGTTCAAGGGAAAAATTGCCTAATAAATGTACTCCATAAAGCGGGCCATTCACGGCCTCAAGTTTCTGCTTTTCTTTAACTTGTCCTGACACAGAGTCATCGTTGTTTGAAATGGATTATCGGAAATTTGTCTCAATAGTACTTCCATCATCACAAAATATCGCGTAATAACAGACCTTACAAGAGGTAGAGTCAAATCACATGCCACATATAACATAACAATATTAAGAGATAGTCTTCTAATGCTTGTAGTGTCTATGTGACAAAAATTTTCTAAAACGCAAAAGGAATGAATATTAAGATTAAATAATTACCATTCCATTTGTTGTAAGAGAGCTAGCGTTATGCAGAATTTACTTGCTGTTTACGTCACATCTAAAGATGTTTCTTCTATAATATCATCTACAGCCAGTAGACAGTTATATTTAAGTGACAGCTAAATAGTTCCCGTACTAAACCAAGCGTCCCTTTACTGTTCAACCTAGCTCATGAGAGTTTCAAGACGGTACTCCGTACCGTTTCTCGTGTGCAGCCGCCTTATAGGAGTGTATCATAAGTGGTATAATTTATAAGAGCTCGATAGGTTTCTCCGCGATAAGGGTGCCGGTACATTATTAATGGACCCTCAGATAGAGCGTTGAGGTTCCGATGATGCGCTCATAAATAAAGGTCCCAATAAACTCCGGCTCAGACCCCGATGAGAGCGCTCCTAGTGTATGCCGTTTGAAGATTATCAGATGTAGTAAGATTTCACGGAAGACATTTCACCGTGGACAAAATCAGACAAGTTATTTTCTCGCTTACTTTCGTGTGTTTATCAAGTAATGTAATTTACTTAATGCGCTGTATCTTGTTACATTGACTTTACCTAGTCTAGTAGAGGAATACGATTGACTTAGGACAAAGTAAAATTAATTAATAACATACAAACCACAGCTAGCTAAAGGTTAGGGATACAAAATATATAAAGGCAAAGTTACTACGCAACAAAAATACATTCGAATGTCTTCTAAATATTTGTTTTATAATTGATATTTCGTCCCAATGTTTTTCTTCACCGAGTACCTTAGTTTTACGGCGGTAGTGCCACGCAGCAGTGTTCGCTGTTGCACGAACAGGCAGGTCCGTCCGGGTTGCTACCACGACCTCACCGGCGTGAAGTAGAAGTGTAGCACATCTGCGTTTCGTCTGGTGAGTGAGGTAGCCGGGGCCCACTTTATTAAGCATCTGCAACCCTACTCGTGTTGCAAATGTCCATGAGTGACGGTTATCCCATAACAATAGGTGAACCGCCAATTCGCTTGGAACCTTCTTACGTAAAAAGCGAAAAATGATAATGATAAAGACGAAACTGAACGATGCGTCGAATGTAAGATAACAGTTGAAAATAAATTAAGATTAGCCAATATTTCCCGAATCCTGAATACTCTAGTAAGCCACTTGTAAGTATTAGAAAGTCTAATTAAGTCACAACTCTCTTTAATACTTTAATAACTATATATTCTTTAAATGTTATGCGCGTAAAAATATGAAATCAATAACTTGTTTTCACATTGAAATTAATTGTTTCAGAGTCACGATGCCTCCGGCGAAGGAACACAACTCGAAATACTCATACAGCCGATCCTTCTCACAGAGTAAGTCGTTATAAACATTTCTTACAACAGAAAATAAACTGGCCAAGTGCGAGTATCACGCACGAAGGGTTCCGTAACATTTACGTTGTTATAGCGGCCACAGAAATACAGCATCTACGAAAATTACAATTATCTTACTTTCACGGTTCATGAGATACAGCCTGGTGACGGACGGATAGACAGCGGAGTCTTAGTAATAGGGTACCGTTTCGACCTTTGGGTACGGAACCCTAAAATTGAAAGCTAATGTATACAGGTTGGCTTTTCAAAAGGTGCTACAATGCACACAGGAGGTTCAGACTCGGTAGTATAATCGTTTATTGAAATAAAAAAATTGCCATTCGATTCTCTAAAAAACAGAACTTGTTGACAATGCGGCAGTCATTCATAAATACGTCGTATACTTCTGAAACCAACTTGGGTGCGTGTTAGTTATGAATGAGTTGCCCATAAATCACGCACTTTTTGAGATAAGTTCAAATGAATGTATTTAATTAATTACGAGTGATTACATATATTATCATTTTTTATATAACATTATTTATGTCTAGAATTTAATAAAGAAATGGATACACTTAAAAAAGCCTCCCTATATATGAACGGCGAAAGCTAATGAATTGTTTAGCAACCACAGCAACAATGATACGTTTTCGTTATGTAAACTTTTCCACTGTAGTATCAAACAAACGAATGCAATATAATGGATGTTGAGATGTTCGGCCAGCCATACTGCTGTTTATAGTAAATTAATAAACTTATAGTAAGAAATAATAATATTTTACTGGTTAGTCCATATAGCTTCTGTTGTTTCACGAATGGGCAGGCTCGTCAGGTGCCGCTTCCTCTCAAAATACCGACGTGAAGTGCAAGTATTGTACTTTCACGTTTCGTCTGCTGAGTGAGGTAGCCGGGGCCCACTTTTCTAATGTCTGGCAACGCATGTGCCACCGGTAGTCACTAAACATCTGGTAAACAATCTACTCGTTTCCCAATTTTTTTTATTTTATTAATTTGTTTATTTTTTAATTTTAAAAACATCGCCCTTACTTTAGGATAACATTATCCTGTGTGTAAGGACGTTTTACATACATAAATTTCACTAGGACAAACACCCAGATCCGAAAAAATTGTCTGTGGGACACAAATAGTCGTCCAGTGTGGGAATCAAACCCACGACGCCGCCCGTTGCTAAATCCAATAGCTTGGCAACTGCGCCACGGAGTCATAAACATATAAACCAATTTTTTAACCGACTTAAAAAAGAAGGTTTCTCAATTCGACCGTATATATTTTTTTTGTGTGTTTGCGGATAGTCGTTTATGGACCAATTTAGTTGATTATTTTTTTGTTGTAAAGGAGGATAAGGAAACCCAGATCTGATGATGGCATCCCAGAGAAATCGAGGGCAATGCTCAAATGTTATAAGTATTAACAATGTATTTAAATTTCGGTTTTAAGTCGGTTTTTTTGTTAATAATTAAAAACAGCAAAGATCAAGGATATTATTATATACAAATGCGAGGTAAATATGACATTAGCGCACCGAAACTGGGGCACTCAAATTACGCCAATAGGTGTAATTAGATTGCAACTCTACAAACTGCTATCTCCTTCCGTATCATCCGTTCTATATCATCTGTAACATTCACTAATATATGTCATAACGTAAAGCGGAACAATTTATAAACGTCGCGCTGTATGGACAAGTGTCATCTTTATAAAAACATCATTGTTGTTTTGATAGGCCGAAAAATTGTTAACCGTTTCTATGTTTCAGACGGGATGTCCATGTCGGCGAAGGTCTACCATCCCGCCACGAACCTGATGCCGCCGTCGCCACCACTGTCACCGACCGGCGTCACGCCCCCCTTCTCCAGCTCCACGCGGTCCACCAACACCTGGGGCCGGCAGAACAGCATGGGCAATGGCAAATACTCGTGATGTCCGCGAGATGGCTCCAGCTTGGAACGAACGAGAACCGACACTGACCTATCGATAGTCTGTAGGATCGCGCTTTGCAAAAAAAAAAAAAAGAAATGGCGGGAAAATTCGATGGATGACGTTCGTGTCAACTTTGCTGACATTTTGCATTTGTTTATGCGAGGAGCGTAAAAAAAATAACCGTTTGAAAAATAAAAATTTCATAACAGGGGTCAAGTATTAAATTTACAACATAACATATTAATTTCTGTTGCTTTTCTCACATCGTTAAAATATATTGAACAAAAAAAAAATATGTCTCTTGATATGATATTAAAGACCTCTGTAAATAACATGACCAGATCGTAAGCTAAGAATTTATCAAGAACGATCGTAGGCCGGTTATTTCTCTGAATAGTTTAGTTTCAAAGTCGTAAATAGTTTACGAGTCAAATATTTCTGTAGTCGAATCTTAGCTTAATCATATTTAAAATTTTATTATTAGTTTAAATTTTTAAAATATTTACCATATAAATGTAGATGACGTGTAATAGAATAATCTTTTGGTAACTTAGGATCGTTATCATTATAACTTCTTATTATCTCTGCTTGCGCCTAAATTCAGTTGCAGACTATGTTTTTCTTTTACAGCAATATTTTGAGAGCAACGCATTATGCCAATTTTATCAATTTGATTGTATCATATCAGTTTGATTGAAATATCTAAGAAACATATCTAACATATATTTTAAATAAATGGCACAAAAAATCGTCTTTACATGATTTTTTTTTCAGTATTTTCTTTTGACATTTTTTTTATTTTAACATTTTGGTCCATACTATTTATTACATTTTTATTAACTCATATATTGTTCTTTGCCGTCATATGTATAATATACGTAGATAAGTTTAATAAACAAATATAAAGTAAAAGAAGTCGAAATAAAAAAAAAACTTGTCTTTGAACAAGAATGTGTGTTGTGCTGTGAGTTGTCACGTTTTAGTGACATATTTTTACATTAAGTACGATCATAATATAACATAGTTCTAAGTAGCATAATTATGTAACGGATACTAAATTAAATATAATAAACATATTTAATGAAAACAGCGTTTAAATTAACCTTACCCATAATGAAGGCGACTATGCTTTGTTCTATACCACCAGATCTATGTAAACGGGGTATAATAAATGTAAGACATAACTGGCCGCTCTCAGCTTCGTAAATGCAGGGTATTCAAAGATATGTCGAGATTTCGATATAACTTTCGAAAATAGTTGTAGTTGAAATTTCGATTTTATATTTACGTATCACCACCGTCATTTCGACCTGTTTAAGTCGTCTAAGGAACGTAGGACCCAGCTAGACTGCCACGAAGCACGATTATTTATCAACTTCCCGCAATGCACAGGTCCGTCAGTGTCACTAGTGATGTACCGTACTGCTACCACTCTAGAACATTTCTTCCCCATCAGTTTTCGGTTCCACGAGCTATATGCCCGGTCCGTTGCCAATTCAGCCTACCAATCTTCTGAGCTATGTCGGTGAACTTTGTATTACTGTGTAAATCGGTATTACGAACTCTATCATGTAGAGAACATTGACGATAGCCCGCTCCATATCTCACATCCTAACTTCTTTTTTTTAACTGTTTTCGTATATTGTCTAAGATATTATCAGTTCAAAGTTATGATTTGTAAGAATTTTTTCTGAGTCATTAAATATAAAAATTCCAAAAAATAAATCATGTGAATTTATAATTATATTAATTCTAACTATTACTAATAACCTAGCCCATACGGCATAGTTTCAAAAACGCTAGCAGAAATATAAAATATTTTGTTTCGTAAATAACAATTAAGAACTTAACTCTGTACTACAAAAATTCTTCTTAAGGATGTTTTATTCCTATCTATCCTTACTAATATTATGAAGGCGAAAGTTTGTATGTATGGATGGATGTTTGTTACTCTTTCACGCAAATACTACTGAATTTAATATTTTAATGAAACTTTACAATAATAATATAGCTCCGCCTGTTTTGGGACCGCCCAATTACCGACCGAGCTATTATAAGATTTTTTTACGGTGAAATTTACAATCATATTCGAATGATATTTTTCATCCCTGAAAACAGGGATAAAAGGACATTTTCTATAAATGAAACTTAGTTAGATCAATTTTTTGCCCCCGAATCTACGCACATACTAAATTTCATGAAAATCGCTGAAGCCGTTGAAATCGTATACAAGAATTGCTCGTTTAAAGGATAAGATATTGGTCTATGAGCTGTTGTAGTAATTATCCGATGTAGTAAATAAATAAATTAATTAATTAAACTTTTCTAAATAATTTAATAAAATACACCATTAGAATTTGAAACCATTTACTTTCAAAATCATATAATTCAAGCATTATATCTGACCAGAGAACAAATATTAACCGTTGTGACTGTAACATTATTGTCTATGATTATTACTATATATTGGGTCGTTCATAGATATTACTTCTTCTTCTTCTTGTCAACGCCCAACGTGCATATCATGTAAGTGATCAAATAAAGTTTATACAACTAAACAAGTCTTCTTTACTCATTTACAGTAAAACAGTGACCAATATTCTAGAACACTGTGGACATAATATCTTATATTATATCATAGTAATTCTACCTAGGCTATAAGAAGTTGTAGGTGCAGGTTCTGCCATCTATTGATAGTCACTAATAAATAATTCATAGAACCACACGCTTTAAGATCTAAAGAAATATGTTTCTTCTGGCAATATTAATTTATTTTTAAACTTCTATAATATCAATAACAATTAATTATTGTTTAGGCGCCATCTCTGGCTAAAGACGTGATGATTGTTTTTAATCTATTACTATTTTTGCCTTATACAATTGAAAGACATTTAGTCGATTGGTTTGACGAATAGCATTTCAATTGCGTATAGCTATTTTAATGGTTTATTAATGTCAGCCACATTGTATAATTTTATGAAATTTAGAAAAATCATACTTGTGGATCGTTATTAATTATTCGTCATTATTAATTGTTAAAGTCCAAATACATAGTCGGATGATTAATAAAAATTATTTTGGCCTTTTCCGAATATAAATTTTGCAAAAATTGAATATTGGTTTATACGAATAGTAAACTACTTGCAAATAACCAAATAGAAACACTGCCATCTACCGAGTATCTATTGAACTTTTCAAATCGATCGATACGTAACTCCTGTCATCTAGTATAAAAAGTGTTAAGCAAAGACATCAATCAATAATTGTAACTATGCTTTAATAGATGTCACTATTATTTAATTTAAATACAAATCTTATTACATTTATTTATGTAATAGTTTATAATACTTTATGTGACCGATGGTGCTTCAATAGCTGTACAGGCAGAAACGTTACTAAATGTAGGCAGCAGCATTCAAGTTAAGCTACTACTCACCAATTATTGAAATGGAAGTCAATAATTTCTCCTCGTTAATCACGGACATAACATAATTATATAACACCTGTCAAGCGATCATAAAGTCAAAGTTTGTTAACCTTTCATAAACAGAATTCCACAAAAACCTTCAGCTGATCGAAGCAGACAGACTTTACAAAGAGGTGCGCATTTTTTCGATCTGTTAATTTCCTTCGCTCCTAATTAATATGGGTGCAACGGAAAACCATCAGGCTGAAAGATAACGGCGTTCGTAGCCAGGGTCGCTCGATTCGAACCTTTTTGTTTCTCGTTTCACAGAAATTTCCACGTAACTCCCATATGATTAGGGAACGGTTTAGCTTGTACTGTTGTATCTTTAGGAGATGCCCTTGGTCGCTTGATGTGCTTAAGCAACAATCAAACTTTATCGCCTTGGGCTGTAATGATAACAATTAAAAAAAAAGATAGGCCCCCCCGCATCCACTATGTGCAACCCTCGGTACTTGATTGAACGTCCCTCTTAGTTACTTAAAAGGAATTTACGATCGAATAATTTACATTCTAATTTAACGAGACAGCGGGTTCGCTGGCTACGATGATGATTCCAGTTTAACTAAGAGCAGTTTTATTAACTAAGAGAAGTATACACTGAACCCATTATATTATAGTACACAATGGAAATAGTTGTGCATCGATTTTAATATATGTCATATATGTGTCATGACAGGACCGTTCTTTACGCAATGGCATTAGGAAGCGGAATTTTGATATTTAAGAAATGGTCTTGATTTTCTAGAAAGTGTATAAAATCTGCAAGCCGAGTTGTTTTCTATATTCGCATTGACATTGTCTCCATTAATATCCATGGTATAACCGTGTTTTTAGCGAGTACATAGACAATTTGTTTTGAACTCGGTTAGATGAAGATGACTTTAGCAGAAAAAAAACACAGGTTTTGAAATGTGTCTTACATATATCGTTATACAAGCGCCTCATATTATAGATACCTACATTAAAACAGTATTAACTTGGGCCGTGGGCCCTTAATAATTATAAACTTAAAACGAAATCAATTCACCAGTTATTTCTTTTGTATTTATTTCTTGTATTGTCAAAAGCATTCCATTTTCGGGGGCAATGGCACTTGTTACGCGGTAAAAATCAATATTAAAACAAAAATACGCCTCTTATATCATTTCGTAGCACGCGTACGCAGGCGGGTCGAAGCTGGTGAACCAATGAGTGTAACTCGCTGATTGGAAGAGGGCTTCAGATAAGTCACCGCTATTTTTAGCCTAACGGCGAGTGTCACGCGTGATTCGATCAGTGCGACGTCTATTAATAGAAAATGCATCAGTGCCGATCATGCAAGCGCCGTGTGTCCCTCCGTTCGCTCGTCAGGCGTGCTCTCCATTCGCAACATCCATTTGGGATGGCGAAAAGTCCATCTATACGGCACACTCAGGCATACATAAGGCTGAATTAGGTTATCCTTAAAGAAAGCCACGGATTGAAGCATGCCGATTTATTAAAACATGTAGAAAAAGTACGAAAAGATTGTCGCCGCTGTGGGAATCGAACCCACGTATTCGGCATTCGCGGCCTGACGCTCTAGCCACTGAGCTA